GCTTCAAATGCGGTAAAAGAACTACTTGCTTTCTTGAAGTCAGACAGACGTTAACACCTCGCAGAGTCCGGCTGAACTTTTAAGGGTTGGGCTTCAAAACATTCTATTTGATAAATGGGTATTACCTGTCGGTCAGCTGACTGACAAGCTTTTAACTAATCGTGAGTTAACTTAAAATGCAGTCAAATATGGGACCGTATTTGCGCCAATATTCATTTTTTTCAATCTGTTGTTACCACGAAAAGGCTAGTTCAGGAGGGAAGGAGCGTCTCCAAGGAAATTGGTGATTCAGTCCTCACGCCAGTATGACGGGAAGTTTGAAAGAACTGTGCACACCTCTACAAAGCAGTCTGTCAACCTGCTGAGTGCGTTTTAAGACAATTTATTTACCAATGGGCGTTACCTTTCAGTCTTTAAACAATAAACGTGAAATCATCCAACAGCTAAAATATTTGTGATGTACAGATATGTATTTACATAAGTTTTAATCTACGCATTTAAAGTTTAATTTTTCAACCTTCGTAACCTATTTTTTCCTGCTTTAATCCATTATTTTAATAGATTTCTTGAATTTCTTCTTCCTTGCAAATAGAACAGTCAGTTATAGACTAAACATTTAGATTAGCCCCTGTTTACATATCCCCCTAACTACATGCCTCTAGAGAAAATTAAGATAATAGCGGAGCTCTCGCGCGCGCGAAGCGCGCGCGCAGCGGAGCACCATGGGTAAGAAAATTTGGTAAACTATCCATCCGAGAAAATTTGGTTATGACGTAGCGTACGCCCACCCGTACACACTTCATGTAAGCCGATGTCAAATGTCACAATCTTGCACAACTTGACTAGCCTCTTAGTTATGTAAACCATCCGTATGAGTACGATTAGATTGACAGCTGTCAAAATCAGACATCCGCTGACAATTATCACGTGGCCATCTCGCGGGCGCAGATAAAAGACCAGTCGTTTTGCCCCTCCATATAAGCTGATATAATATGTCTCACTTACCAATTCAACATAAAAACGAAACTACGCCGGGCAAGGCTGTCAGTTGGCTGACAGTCTTTTAAAGTTACATTGGCAAGCCAAATTAAGGTCAATTGACAGCTGTCAAAAGGGGACATATGCAGTCCACTATCAGAAAACTAATAACGTGGGCTCAGCTTCGCTCAAGTACACGATCTGGCATTTTCCACTACATGCCGGACGGTTATGCCTTACTCACACTCGTAGTCTGTTAATTCGAATATTCGCCATTCTAATGAAGGTTAATTGACAGCTGTCAAACTAGAGTATACGCTGACCATCATCACCTGTGTGTATCGCGGGCTCATTTTTCTATCCATTGAGGTCACGTAGTGTTTAAAGTTTTGCGCTGATATTTTAATTTGATCACGTGCTCAATTCGAAGCCCCATAGCTTAGAAAATCTATCTATCCTAGAAAATTCGACAATCACGTGACCGTACACCGACCACCCGACCTTCCGTCCGTCCGCACCACAGGCATACCAATGTTTAATATCACACTTTCTAGCTAGTTTGGGAACCTGCAACCTGATATTGGACATCCATGTTTTGATTAATTGACAGCTGTCAAAAAAGTGTTTCTGCTGACCAGTATCACCTGACCGTATCGTGGGCTCAGTTATCGACCCACTGAGTTCGAGTGTTTTTTTGAAGGTATCCGCTGACAAGTTGATACTTTTCAAATGATCGCAGGCTCAAGTTAATTTTTTTTAAAATGCATATGAAATAAGTCGTGTTCATGAGCAGCACTTTTAAAATGTTGATTTCGAACCGACCTCGGACGCGAAAATTCAACCGGCTTTTACATTTACATGCAGGGAAGGCAATCGCTTTTGACTTTTCTCACTGTCACGCGTTGATCACGCTCTACGTCCAATTCTTATGTTCTGATTGGTCAAAATTTGACAGGTGAGTTCATGCG